AAACAAAATGCAATAACTTGATGAGCTAAGATATTTCGAACTTCCCTCAGGAATGGATACCATATGTCAAACGCAGCACACGACTGAGTAGAAGCGAAAACTCATATGCACACAGTGTCTAGAATATCACTTTAAACAATGAGTAAGAGAACAACAAGGTGACCGAGTTCTTCCCAAAATAACCAGAGACAAGCAAAAGAAAGCGAGCAGTTCAAACTAAATAAACAAATCATACGCTTGTTATCAATCATCGGCTGACTTAGGCTCTTCTTTAGACTTCAATGGAGCTGAAGGAGATGGTGAGCCTTCTTGACCCATCTCAGCTCTAAGATCATTGATGCTCTGTTCCAGCTCATCGATCCGGTTACCCATCTCATCGAGTACAATGCAGTTAAGAAATTTCAAGCTAATATATAGATTATTCAAAATCAAAATGAAAAATAAAAATTTTGCAGGCTGAACAACGAGAGATTTTTCTTTATAATGTGCACAAGATTTGTCGCACAGAAGTGTTAATCATATAACAAGAAGTAACAACATAGCTGCTTGACGATCAAGAGCAATGTAGATTTCACGATCAAGAACCTAAAAATATTGAATATTCTTACTGCAAAAACGAGCAACTTTGTGTCTGTGTGCAGGAATATATAATGTTTACATATAGGAATAATCTAGTAATTAAGGATATTTTTTGAAATGATGGATTCTGACATTGTTTGGAACCTCGATTGCTGCAGAAAGAAAGCAAACATCAGACAATGTAGAGCAAAAAAAGCAAGATAAATGAAAAGTTAAGGTTGCGTTAGTTTTATCAGTTACCATTTGCTGAAGAAGATTTTGAACCTACAGAGTTAAAGGTAGCACGTTAGTTACACGTGTTAAAAGAGTAGGGGACACCACTCTTTCTTTGCAGAAATGTGTGGTGAAAGAGGGGAATGAAAGAAGAGTTGTTAGCAAAGTGATAAAAATAAAAAAATTGAACAGGAAACATTAGTTCATATTTACACCAGACACCAGCAAAGCGGTTTAGCACAGTTAAAAAATATTGCAATAAGATTTCACTGGATAGAACATACAAATGCAGTCATGTCAGCAGTACTTTGTTTAGCATTCTCTGCATCATGCCCATCCTGCAAACAGAGTACTAATATGATTAGGAACAATATTTGTACGAATAATATCAAGAAACTATAGAGAATGCATGCTACTGAAAACTCAAATAAGGCCTATATGTGTTTCGCTTTGGCAGATCAGTTGTAAACACGGAAATCTCGGTTGAACAACTATATATTCACCAGATCGTAAACACCAAGACAGAACATGAACCGTGAAAAATCTTACCCAAGAGTACGAAGCACAACAACTAGAGATAATGAAGACAAAATGTCACCACAATAGATACACAAAATCAACATCTGATACAAAGCCAAGAATGACTCGGTGAAAAAATTTCATAGAGAGGTGAATCGGGATCTACAGCTCATCATAACTTCCTAGTTACTGTTACAGAGAGATGTGACCCGGTTAATTCCTTTTTATTACCATTAGATCAATACGCACCAAACACTTACCCATGTGACCCAACATAAATGGTAAATTTAAATGCTTATACATAGCAAGGTACGCTCACCATAAGCAATAACAACATTAAGAAAGGGAAGAAACACTTAGCCCTTACAACTTCATGAAATGGGTAAACCATATTATCATTTTTCCCCCAAAAAAATAATTTTTTTTTTTTTTTCTAATTAAAGGTGCTAAACAATTCTGGTTCTCTTATTCTCTATGTTCCTATTTTTCCAATTAAGGAGAAGATACACGCACTCTCTGGCTAAAGAAGATCGTTTCAACAATCCATCCAACGTTTCCACTGAGAGCACTAAGAAATAAACCGTACCACAATTAGATATTGTAATCCCAAAAACAAGAGCAAAACCTTGCGAACAAAATAATTTGAAAAAAATAAAGAAATAAGCCGCATCGGTAAATCAGAAATATTAAGGGAAAATCAATGATGAAATAATGGAGAAGGTAACTTACCATTGTTTTGGGGAGCAATATCTGTAAATGCTGTGCTGTGCAGAGTGGGTGACTGTAGAAAATGGTGAAATTCTGAATGCGATGTGAGATTTTGTTGAGAGTAATATCTACTTCTAGCTGGGCTGGATCTGTTATCATACATATGGGCCTGCCTAAACTGGACAACCACACTCTCTGAGAAAGAAAAAACCACCATTTTTTTTTTTTAGTCAGCCACGGTATTCGGAGCTATGTCCCGACTAATCCGTTGGTCGACTCGGGTCGCACATCTGGCAGTGGTGGGTGAATCTTCCAACAAGGATTTTCTACATCTACAAGGACTCAAACCCGAGACCTTGCTTAAGCGACATCAAGCTGCTTACCACTTGAGTCAACCTCTGTTGGTAAAAAAACCACCATTTGATTATCGTTAAAAGATACTGTGACTATTAAAAAAATATAAATCGGATATAGTGATGTAACACTCATAATACCTTGGCAGATTGCTCGGATAGGCTAGTCTAAGAAAGCTACAGCCTATGCAGAAGTAAGTAACCATTTTAGGAGCTCGTATTCGAGCTCAAGGTACTGGCCGCCCTAAATAAGACGATTTGGAGGCATCGACCTCTAATAGCCTGGCAAGAACATTGATGTAACACCCAAGTATTTTTCCTTTAGAAAATACTCATTTTTCAGAAATAATTTGAAATTTTGAAAATATTTTTTAGAGTAACCCATCTTTCGGGCATCACTCAAAAAAATTATTTCTTTTCCCAAACCGTTCATTTTCAACAACTCGAGACATAATAAAACCATTCATTTTCAACAACTCGAGATATAATAAAACATTCATTCATAAACAGTTTCGAAACGCAAAGTCTTATCCATAGTTTCGACATTCATTAGTCAAAACAACACAATTCTGAAAACGTCTGCGGAAGAATGTAAAACACATAAGGTAAATAAAGACCACTCTCGTCCTCTCGTGACCTCAACCGACGACTCAACTAGAAAAGATATAAATAGCGGGAGTGAGCAAACAACTAGCTCACCGTTAGAAATACTATGGAATTACTATCATCTACGAGCTATTGTGCATGACCAGATAGCCCCGGTGATCGGCCGCATGCGACCAGGACACATCTGTGATAAGCCGAGACGTACTCCTGGCAACCATCGTGCACAACCCTAACGTAGCAACGACTCGCTCCCGTCTGCCAGCAACTCGTGAGCTTTCCGCGAGTTCTCCGGCGACCAAGTGATCTACACGACGTGCAACCCAACAATTGATGGCAGGATCTGATCAACGCCTAAATAAAGATTAGATTATGATAAGAACAAGGGTTAGGAGAGATATACGAAAAAATTAGGCTTTTTTATATTAATCACGAGGTCACCTCTGATACCGAGGTCGGCACTTTTGTTACACTTGTAATGTTTACAATTACAAATTTGAGGGAGTAACTGTAGAGAGAGAAATAGTTGGTGGAAATTCAACAACCCTCATAAATGAAATGGGTTGCCTATTTATAGTAACTCTAATCTGGTATTGTTCGGACACTGTTCAGCCTATCACCTCACAATAACTCTGACAGACAGGTTGATGTCGTTCTGACGGATATTAAAATGCGATTTGAGGTATCTTCAATGATTATCTATCAGGCATTAAATGCACACATGTGGGACATTTAATGGTGACAGGCTTTTCTTCCGGGCTAGATGCCATAGGGCGGTAGACAAGGGTAACATGTCTCATCGGCAATCATTAGCAGACAAGTGGTAATATGTTATTAATTTATGATCATGTGTCCGTCCGAAAGCCGACTCGCAAAATTTTCAGGTCGGACCTTAACAATTATTTTATTTTCTTGCCTCAAGGATCCCGATTTCATGTTCGGCATCTACAGAGGTCGTCCACTTCACCACCCTGTTAAGATGCCAACCTCGGAGCATGTGTGGTTCATCATCCTCAACGACTTCGTTTCTTGGTTAGCTCGACATTTCATAATTACTCGAACCCCGGTACGAGTTTTGAGGTCATCTTCTCTAGGTTCCTTTATCGTTGAACTGTAGATTCTCTGTCGACCCAACTCAGATATCAACATACAGGCCCCCGAGCTCGGACGGGAGGTCTTCGACATTTCTTCCGAGGTCGACTCTATGAGGTCTGATCTAAGTTTGTCTTGTTGGGGTCGTCTTGAGGTGGATTAGTTAGTCGCATTTATGAGGTCGACCTTTCTGTCATACTTTGTGATAATAGTAAACTTTGTTGCGCATTGATGACGTGACTTGAAAGGACGGGTCATTTAATATGGCATGTCCGTATGCTTTTTACTGTCGGTTTAGGAAAACTGTGTCATTTCAATTAATGTTCTCATGGTGGACACGTGGCTGCATTCTGACTGTCCGCTCCAATCATCACGCCCGTTCAATTAGAACAATTACATTTCCACATGGTTGAATCTTGGCCCGTTCCTAGTCATACGATTTGAGCGTCGCACCCATTCGATTTGAACTGTTGTATCCATTTAAATTTTAAATTCCAAAAGGTTACCAACATGTCACGTTCCCATTGGCCGAACGTATCTATACATACAACCCTTTGGATTTTTCTGAGGCTTTTACCTTTTGTGATTTTGAGCGAATGCATTTTCTGAGCGGATATTTTTCAGAGCGAACTGCAGAGTTTCTTCATCATTTTCATTCCGTAGTCTCAGCTTGTTTATCTTTGTCTTATTTTGTTTTTATTTTCGGTCATGTCGAGTTCTACAAGCTATGTGACTGGTTATTCCGGTGACAACATGGGTTTCTCCGAGGGTATTACGGCGGCTGGAACGGGGAAGAGAGTGGTGTACTCCCTTTCGGTGGCAGCGGCGGCGGCAGTATTGTTGGGGGCAACGCCACGGCTATTAGGATGACCTTGCCGGCAGCAGCAACAGTCTTCGATCACAGCGAAGGGAAGAAGATACCCGCATCTCCCTTGCGCGAAGTTATTGAACTTGACTCAAGCCAATCCATCAGTGGAGAGGACAAAGATGTCAACGTCGGCCCTTTCATGAAGATTCCAACATCGATCTTGATCTCGTCGAAGAAACCCTTCAGGGCGACACCTACTGGCGGGAGTGTGTTCCCATGTGTCGCAAGGAGTGTGTTCTCATGTGTCACAAGCACAAAAAACGTAACAAAAATGGAACAAACAACTTCCCCACACTTAAACCTTTGTTCGTCCCAAACAAAAAGAAAAGAAAACAAGACATGAGCATGGATACGGCTTCAAATAAGAAGAGCCTCAAAATGCCCAATTCAATCGAGTCGAATTCCAACGACCGTACGACCATATGCCTCAAATATCAACTTGGCCTCGAATTGACAAACTCTCAAACACATATATTGTAATATAAACCTCACTCATTTTCTTACACGAATATATGATAAGTACGCTCAAAATTGATCGATATTCAAGTTTCAACATATGCTTGTCAATCGTTTAAATTACTCCAAAACAATCAAAGCTCAAAAGATGCGAATCAAGAGGGCTCCACGAGTTGTAATGCGGGCTTAAGGTAAGGATATATATGCGAGAAAAGCAGCTCAAATACACAAACACAATTCTCGAGCAAATATATTACTCGAGTTCTCCACAACCAATCCGGAATAAACATGACAATACATTTACCACCCAACCAAAACACTACACACTCAACACCTAGTTGCTCTAATCAAATTGCGATACTTGACCCATTCTTTCTTTTTTTTTTCTTAATTTTATTTGGAAAGTAACTTTTTTCCAAGCAAGATCGAATTAAAAGGACAACAATATGTAGGTGTAAACATTGGACATCATTCAAGTGTCCTACAATAGTTTCACAATGCTCATTACCCGTCAACGTGAATCGACTAGTAAGAGGAGCATAATCCATTTGAATCGCCTTGTGATCTCTCGTATTTTTTTTAGGTCAAGCAAAAGAAATCGAACTCCAATTTACCTCATTCAAAAACGACACCATTTTCACCAATCATCACCAAATCAGACAATAAAACCGGCTGACAAGAAAAGGCTCAAAGCTCAAACGGGCTACTAGTGGAAATTCTTTTTGGGATCAAAACAAGGCTAAAGAGAGCTAATTCAAACAAAAAGCCTCAATCATATTCGCAATTTCAAACTCTAATCGATCCTTTCAAACAAACTCAAGGCAAGTTCTAATCATTCAAGAATATGACCAATATCTCAGAACAACGAAGAGTAAGGATCAAAACCTCACAAGGCAAATATATGTCACTCAAAGCAATCAAGCAAATATCAAGGCAATGATTGAAACGGCCGTCATCACAACTTCTCAATTTCATCAAACATTCATCAACACATCATATAATTCACCAATACCTCATGTTCTCAACAAAACATAAACCTAAAGCTAGTCCGGTCCACCACATAAGCGTGCAAAATCCAAATAAACGTTCCCACACTTAAAATGAGACAATGTCTTCATTGCTTCAACACAAAAAACAGGAAGTCAAATAGTAGGACCTAGCAATTTCATATAACGAACCAATACTAGCAACTAACACAAGAACACAAGACTCAAACGAAAGGACAGAAGGAGAATGCAAACTCTAAAAGATAAAAAGAGAAGAGGGTATGCAAACCGAAAACGTATCGAGGAGAATAAGCACTCTCATGCTTAATATTCCTTGTTCAACGCAATTCTCCTGCTTGATCTCGCAACTCGTACCTGCTAAGAAAAACACATAACTCCAAAACTTCAATTATTCAAAGATAAAATTAAAAGGCATAAAGAAAAGTATCTAGGAAAGCAATAAATCACGCGAGTTGCCACTCAAGAAGTGCTTTTTTAATGTCATTAGCTTGATGACACCTGTAACAGACTCAACCAGGATCCAGAAAGAAATGACGATCGTCTCACGCCTTCGTATTTTCTGGAAGTGGTAGCATGGAAAGTTTGGCGAGAAGGCTGGCATGGTGGATCCGGGTGGTATGTTCTGGATGAAGCGGGTTTGGGCAC